GATGTATAAAGATTTTAAGATGTGTTATTGGTAGAATAGGATAAAGGCTGATGTAGCAAACTTTCTTTCTAAGTGTTTGACCTGTCAGAGGGTAAAGGGTAAACACGAGAAATCTGCTGGATTATTACAACCATTGTTGACTTCATAATGGAAATGGAAAATGATCATAATAAACTTCATAACAGGATTGTCTAAAAGTCAAGAGGGTTATGAGTCGATGTGGGTGATTATTGACAGGTTGATAAAATCAACCCATTTTCTGTTAGTTAAGATTATTTATGGATATACAAAATTGATGGAATTGTTTATTAGTGAGATTGTACGGTTACATGGAGTGCCAATTTTGATAGTGTCAGATAGAGGTCCACAATTTACATCACGGTTTTAGGTGAAATTAAAAGAAGCTATGGGTACTAAAGTGCAGTTAAGTATAACTTTTTATCCTCAGATAAATGGTCAATCTGAGAGGACTATTCAGATCTTGAAGGATATGTTTAGGGCTTGTGTTATGGATTTTAGAGTTGGTTGGAGTAAGTTCCTGTCATTAGGGGAATTTGTTTACAACAACAGTTATCAAGGTAGGATAAAGATGACACCTTATGAGGCTTTGTGTGGTAAAAAATGTAGATCACTAGTTTGTTGGTTTGAAGTTGGTGAGAAGAGGCTAATAGGACTAGAGTTGACTCAGATTACCTCAAAGAAGATAGAGGTAATTAGAGAGAAGCTTCAAACAGTTCAGAGTAGATAAAAAATTTACGTAGATAAAAGAAGACGTGACTTAGAGTTTTCAATTGGTGATTGTGTAATTTTCTAACGAGCTTTACTTTATGATATTCTTGTTATGACCTTTTTTAGAAACCTTACTATAAGAACTTATAGCCATAATTGTATATATATTCCTTATTATTATATAAGCTTGAGTGTATATTGAATGTTATCTACTTACTGAGTTGTTTAACTCACCCTCTCATTATTTACCCTTTTTAGACTTATAGCTTGATAGCAGGTCACTTTTATTGGATCTTCAGAACCTGCTCTTTTGGTTGTAATTTGTATATTTTTTTTTATATCTAGTTAGTGCTCTACAACTATGAATTTGTATTAATTCTTGTATAAAGATAATTAAATTATTATGAAGTTAGTTTTGTTGTTATTGTTGTGTTAAACTCTGTTTGACTTATTTGAAGGATAAGTTTGTAAGTTTGGGTTCGCATAAGTATGGAACCTTAGAGGGGAACCTTGCTTGTGTGCCAGACATGGATTTGAGAATGGAGTGGTGACATTAAACTTTTTTTTTATGCATTGGAATCTTTTATTTGTGTTATTTTGAGTATATTTTGTATATTTATTATAGGTTCTCCTAACGATCTTCAATAGATTTTTCAGGTCTTTCATCTAATATTCTTTTTAATCTATATTTTTTCGAGTGAGTGAGATAATTTTTATTTTACATATAATATAAATAAATATGTATGTTGATTCTATGATGAGTACGACTGATTAATTTCTTGAATATTTATATATGTTGTTTTATTTTCCGAGTACTCATTTATTATTAAATTGCACTTATATTTTATTGACCTAAATTCTATTCGATATGATATAATTTTTTTTAATGATTATGTAAATACTTATTATGCCTTGATATAGGACTTGTCATTAACTCCACACTAACATAGGGTAGTTAGCATATATATACATAATATTCTATATACCTAGCTGGTGAGAGAGACATCAGCCTATGACGACTGATTATCCTATATTAGTCACCTTCAGATGTCATCTGGTCTCTGACATGTATTTTACTACTTTATGATAATATGTTTAGTATGTATATGTATATTAATATCTAAAATGTATAGTAAATACTATTCTCTCGCTAAGTTAATTGACTCATCTCTTATTTCTAATATTATTTTAAGTTTTTAGTTTCTGATAACAAGTGAACTTTATTAAGTATTTCTTCTTCTTCAGTTTTGGTTGGTATGCCTTGTTTTTTTACGAGGTTTTCCTTTTAGTTTTGATTCGATGTCTTAAATGCTCCACTATTATCCTGTTTTAGTAAAGTTTGGATTTTAGATAACATAATGTGTTATGGATTATTGTTTTTGTTTTAATTACTAATGAGAAGTTTTGAACTATCATTTGGTTTCATTAGTTTTGAATAATATAATATTTCTGAAAATTATGAAATGCTGTATTTTTTTTAAATAACTTGTTCTTTTGATATATCCGTTCTGAAGTTTAGCGTAGGTGAGGTATCCTTTCAACACCTCTCCTGTATTGTCAATCATGGACCCGGGATTCAGGTCGTGATAAATATCCACACCAACATGGCAAGCTTGATCGATGTACGTTGTGTGTTTGTAGGTTATATTGACACTTAGAATGACTATAAATGTTTTCATCCTCCTACTCAGACCTTGCACATTATTGCATATGTGACTTTCCATAAAAGTGAGTTATATTACTTGGACGGAGTCTCAAAACATGCTCTATATGGGGAAAGCTTTAGCTTTACAGAAGGTATTCAGATCATCTTAATTCAATAAAAGGTTTTAGAACAGTCAGTATCCAAATAACCAGTTACAATGGTGCAACAAGATCAAGAGTCACTAAAATCTCCAGATGTTAGTATTGGTTCAGATAACTTCCCCTCTATAACTACTATTACAGTACAATCACCACGCATCCAATCAGGTCTTGATGATTTCCCAAAGGTAATTAAACATTCAATCTTCCACTTAATCACTTTTCTTGAGTCAAGTAATACATGAAACACAAGTTATCAACTACCTCCTTGTACGACTAGAGGTATTCTTAGACAATAATATGACTTTGACCCTAAAACAAATGTTAAATACCGTATTGCTAATCACATGTCCTTATATAGGCTATCTTTATCATGTGCATCATTTGTATGTCAATTATCTATTGTATTCATTCCAAGTAATGTGCAAGAAGCTTTGAAAAATCTCAAAAGGACCCAAGCAATGAATCATGAAATGGAGTCCCTCTAGAAAAATTCCACTTAGTAGATGACAATCCTTTTAAAAGAGAGGAGAACAGTGGGTTGTAGATGGATATATAAAATAAAGTTTAAGGTAAATAACTCTATTAAGCCAATTGATGACAATATGGTAGTCACAAAGAATCACCTAGAGGAAAAGGAAGCATTATAACACCACTTAGCAAGTGAGTTTAAAATGAAAGATCTTGGTGCTCTAGATTATTTTTTTAGGCATCAACGTGGGTTGTTATGAAAAAGGGCATTTTAATTGATACTGAAATGTTGACTAGCAAACTAGCAGACATGCCAACAGAGTTGAATTATTAACTTGGTGAATATCTTAATCAGGTACCCACTAACAAAGAAAGATGCAAACACCTTATAAGTAAGTTGATTTATCTAAGACACACTAGACCTGATATAACATATGTTGTAAGTGTGGTAAGTCAGTTCATGCATACACCAAATGAAGCTCACATGGATGTGGTAAACCGAATTCTGAGATACTTTAAGTCAGCTCCTGGAAGAGGATTGATGTTCTCACGATATGGTCATCTAGATATCGAAGGTCATACTAATACAGATTGGGCAAGCTCTGTTGCTAACTTATGATCTACATCTTGATATTTTACTTTTATGGAAGGCAATCTAATATCTTAGTGAAGTAAAAAACATAACGTAATGTCAAGATCAAGTGTTGAAGCAGAATATCAAGGTATGACATATGGAGTATGTGAGCTACTCTGAATAAAGAATTTATTGGGGTTCAAACCCTATCATGCCATGCAACTGAATTATGACAACAAAGTTGCAATAGAGATTGTACATAATCCAATACAACATACAAATATGTTGAAGTTGATAGACATTTTATCAAATAGAAGCTTGAGGTAAAGATTATTGAGGTGTTTTTTGTCAAATCTGAAAATTAATTTGCAAATATCTTCACTAAATCTATCATAGAAAAAGTATTTTACAACTCACTTAGCAAGTTAGGCATGAACAATATGTATACTCTAACTTGAGGGGGGAGTGTTAATCAGCTATATGTATATTTCTAATTAGTTTGATTTATTGTAATTGATTCTGTGAGATTATAGGCCCATATTAATATTTTTATAATAGCTTCCTAGGCTCTGTATATATATAACCCGCCTCTGTGATGCCAAAGAATGAAATAACAAAGCAGTATTTTTACCATATCTCATACTACCGCCCCGAGTTGAGTAAATGAAAGAAACCAATTTCTTTTTTTAAAAAAAAAAAGAAAAATGATTTCTTTTTTGTTTTTTAAAAGTCAAAGTTTGAATTGTCCTGCTAATCCAACCGACTTAATTTGAGCCTGGAGTCCATTTTATAATAACCTTCAAACGGACTACAATTTGAATGTGGCCTACTTTAGTATTTTTATACTCTTGTGCAGGCCACTGTAGCTGGGTTGTATTTAATTCTGTCATCAGGCATGGCCCTTCATGTTATGTATGAAAAATAACGGGGCCGTTGTTATGACTGCTCTTAACCTTATCTTATACAAAGTCTTCCTTGGTCTTGAACTGATCTTGTTATTAAAGTAATTTCATTTTGAATACTGTAACATGAGATAATAAAAGAAACGTAAACATCCAATATACATTTGTGTGTGTGAGTGTTAATAAAGAAAGTCAATGGCATCAATCTCTGTACATATGAGAATTTGGATGCTTGTTCATGCTTATAATTATAACATTAGCTGAATGGAACTTGATGTCTTGTATTTAATAATATCTGCTGATTTCACTGTGTCCTATACAGCTTTATAAAACCAATGTGCAAGAATCTGGCAGCCCAGCAAGCATGAGTTAAACATCAACTCTTATTTTATGTCTACAAACAGCGTGAATAATAGCTACGACTTTCTGCAGCAGCAACATGAATCTATGACGCATTCCATTACTTCATCGACATGAATCTTTGCATTTTTATATATATATATATATATATAACTCTTAAAGCTTTCTGTTTATCTGACAATGGCTCAGCTGGCTGGCCCTGATGAGATAGAGTCATTTCGGATTGAGTTAGCAGAGATTGGAAGAAGCATAAGGACCTCATTCAGGAGTCATGTGTCGAGTTTTCGTAGCGTTTCAACTGTGAAATCTGAGCATGGTAGGGATGCTGATGGTGAAGATGTGTCACAATGGGTTGATGTTGAGAGATTACCAACCTTCGAACGGATTACCACTGCTTTATTTGAGGAGCAAGATGGCACCGCTGGAAATGGAGATGTTAAGGGGGGGAAGAGAATTATTAATGTTGCCAAACTTGGAGCTCAAGAACGGCATATGTTCATTGAGAAGCTCATCAAACACATTGAAAATGATAACCTCCGATTGTTGCATAAACTTAGGAAAAGAATTGACAAGTAATTACCTTTGTACTTGCCCTTTTTGAAACGTGTGCTGACAGTCTAGTCTAGTCATACTTATTAAAGTGCACTTGGAAACGTTGATGTGCTGAGTACCAAACTGATAGAATTCCTTGAAATATTAGAGTACTCTACGTGCACATATTAACTTGAATTCCTTCATATTTAATGTATATTTTCCACATGTAATATGATCATAGATGTCTCTCAGATATTAAATCTAATCTTTTTATTGATCTAGTTATAATTATGTTTTTCAGAGTTGGTGTGCAGTTGCCCACTGTAGAAGTGAGATACAAAAATCTGTGTGTTGAATCAGAATGCGAGATAGTTCAGGGAAAGCCTCTCCCCACTCTATGGAACACTGCCAAGAGCATTCTCTCTGTAAGTATCTGCATGTAAGAGGAATAAGTTCTCCAAGTGGTTTTCTATTAACCTTTGGATAATCTTTTACAACATGAAAATTGCAAAATTTTAACTTGAAACGATTGTCTTTCTTCTTCAATGCAAGGTGGAGCAAGCCTGTGAGTGTTGAAACACACTTAACTAGCTCAGCTAGCTTGGTTTTAATATTATAAATTGATGAAACACACTTATTTATTCTTGAAACAAACCCTCCAAGCTAGGAAAACAACAAACAAGAAATTCTAAACCTAGACAGGTTTTCCATCTAGCTAAATTAGAAGGCAGAAATGAAATTCAAGGGGCAGATTCTTCAACACAAATTGGATCACCATGTCCAGCCTCTCTAGTTAGCCTATGTTGCTTTTTTTATTGACTAATAAGGCTACTGACATGTAAAGAGAGTTGGAGGCAAGATTGCCAAAGCTCCATTGAATGTTAATTGACAAAAAGAGGGCAGTCTTGCATGTTGCAAAATATGGCAGCAGGATTTTTCGATCTGCAGAATGGTTTATCAGCCTGCGCACTTGTCAGAACAATGACCATAACTCTTCGTAGGAAGCTCCAAATCCTTCACCGTTTGATGTGTTGAAAACAGGAGACATATAGAGTTTTAGGGATATATGGATGCCTAGTTTTTTGCTCATAATTAGTGCAGTTTTTCCTTTAAAGATAATCCTGAAATCGGAGCTTGTTATGAACCTTTTCAACTCTCTTGATACTCGTTTAGCACCAGTTATCACGTCTTCATTTTTCCATGTAAATTTCTGATTTATTAGGGATGCTTTTGCATTACATTTCCATTTATAAACAGCTAAAAGCTAAACTATTTCTGTTTGTGACAGGGGATTGCCAATCTGTCATGTTCGAAACAACGAACCAAGATAAGCATCATAAAAGATGTCAGTGGCGTTGTTAAGCCAGGAAGGTAGCCTTCAAATAGTCGGGATTTATTATGTTCAATTAATAGTAGAACAGGAACACTTGAGCCCTCATTCTCATTCGTTTCCACATGCTAAACCAGCAAAATAGCGATGGCCACTGACAAAATTGCCGTTCTGACTCACCATTTATTCGCTCAGTTCTCTTGAAAAAGACACAAGTAGTAATGGCTAACTAAATTGAAGATTTCTCTTTGAGATTAAAAAAAATCTATAGTTTAATTCGGGAAAGA